CTATCTCTGAAATCTTTTATCGTCAAACAGCATCGAAGATGTATTAGGCTGGAAACTAAGTTTTGCAACTACCTTCAAAACTCAACTCTCTTTAGAGTTGCGCACTCAAACTTTGGAATTATATACAGTGTAATGTGAGCTACAATTTACAAAAACTGTTTAAATTTTGAAAACGAAACAGAAAAATTTCGGGCAATTTCGAAAACCAGTGAATTTTGAGAAATTTTGGGCCTATAAGCCCAAATGAAGCCATTAGCAGCCTAGACCATGCGCAATAATCGGAATCGTGTACGAATTGTTGCTAAAGGTTGACTTATTCGGCTCGCCAAGAAAGAAATAAAATTTAGGGGCAAGTCGAGATTTGGAGCCCTCACAAATTCGAACAAGTCGCTGCACGCAAGGCTGCTGGGGACAACCGTCAACGACTAAGGAATCAGAACCACAAAATTCCCCGAGCCTTTATATATTGAGATTTTTTGATCTGCTAAACACGATTATCATATTCATTTGTTGAGTCAACGCCTCTTTTCTTGTTTAGGGTGAGACCCCATATCGTACACCTACAGTGATCTTACAAAAAAGCTTTTAGCACGCAACTTCAGTATCGTTTTCGTGATCAGCATGTCGAATAACCCCCCTATGCCAAGTTCCAGCCAAATCAGTTGAATTTTATAATTTTTCTTTTTATACCGCCCACCTACCGTAATCCTCACTGCGACATCAGAATTTGACAGAACAGCAGCTGCGCTTGTAGCCTTCTTCATAGCCAACACAGTGGCAAAATTTGAATGCGCCATGTTGAGTGAGAGAAAAGGTATCAAATGAGTTGCAAAACTTATGTTAGTTTCCAACCTAATAATTAGAAAGTAAATAAATTTTTCTATTAGGAGGTATCTTTTGTAAGTACGTTTACTAGGGGTACGAATTCTTCAAAATCAATGTGACAGAACTTTTGAATCAACTCAAAAATATTAGGTTGTAAAGAAAGTTTCGGGGCACTTGCGAATTTTTTTCTGTAACTTCGAGCAGATTAATCCTTTTTCAGAGCTACAAATTCCACTGCGAAGAGAATTTCGTCTACAACTTATATTTGTCGTGCTGGCTTTTCAGCACCTCATAGCGGTCCACCAGCATGCCCAGAAGGGAAAACGGTCGACTTGAAAAGTGACCTATTAGTGCAGGATTATCTCAGAGTAAAAGCTGGAGAGCTCAGATATTGTAGCTATGTAGAGGGATGCTAAGGCTGTTATGAGGGCATTTTTGCCCTCAAAAATGCACCATTTTTCGAGTAATTGATTTTGAAGTCTTCTCGTTCTGCACAGGAGGGACCAAATCTTTGATTACTGCGAACATTGTTGGGGTAATGTCTTACACATCTTTTGGACCCATCCCCCAGGCGTGGCGATCCCCGTATAAGCGACGTCTGCTGCGAAAAGAGTTGCAGTCAGAAACAAGTTCGACAGCTTGTAATTTCTAAGCACAAGTCGCACTACTCGAGTGCAGCTGCGGGTCAGAAGTTAACAGGTTCCTCAATCAGATCACACTCATGATTTGGACGAAGTTCTTTGAACTGCGCAAAAAATGAGCGCAGGAAGAAAAATCGCGAAATTTTTATGGGTGGAAAGACTTTCTTTTTTGATGTGCAGGTCAAGCACGCCCTGGCATCGATAAAAATCAGAAGCGGTATTGAAAAGTTCACGCTTCGCTTTACTGAACGCTATACAACATTTGGTGTCAAAGTCCGAGCGAGCGCCAAAAAAATGAGTTTGAAAATGGAATATTTCCAAATTGCCCCGGAACTTTCTTTACAACCTAATGAGCAAGAGGCAGTTTCTAATACTGCAGAACACTTTTTTCCTACTCGAGGTTGGCCTAAAGAAGTTCTTGCCCTGATTTTTGCCTGTATCTATTAAGTAGGTCCGAAAGTTCGTGCCATTTTTTAGACCTATCTTCAAACCATTCAGAATGACGATAGACAAAAATAAGCATTGTTCTACGCACAATTTCTTCTTCTTTTCAGCAGTGATGCTTTTGTTAGGATTCCTTGATTTTTCCGAATAATCGCCACAATCTCTAGCCAATGTGCATTTTACGAACTCTAAGTTTAGCTATGTTTTGGAATCTTCGTTTTGGGCTTTTGAAAAAGCTATGATAACAGCTGGATGGAGTAAACAAAATGCTACAAAACCCAATTTTTTGACATCGATAGCTTGCTGTTCAGTATTTTCAAACACAAGTTTTTCAAGAGTCTTCACATTTGCGAACTCGTAAAATATACGAACATTATGAAATCTTCGCAATACAAACTTCCAAAAACGATTATAAATAAACACTAATTATAACAAACAAGTTCCTAAAGCCTCGAAATACTGTTTGAAATTTTCGGTTGAGCTTGGGAGGATCACAAAGCTAGAATTATGGCAATTTTTTCTCAAGACCTTCACAAATCAGAAAGAAAAAACATGTGTCAGGAAGAAGAGGACGCATCGACTTATACTCTAGCTGCTTGTCATCTAATGTTCTACGAGGTTTGGGAACAACAAATATCAAATTTCGTAGCATAAATAATGATAATATTAGAAAACTTGAAAAGTTAGCTATCAATGTCAAAAAATTGTGTTGCATTGCATTTCCTTTATTCTATCCAACATTTAGAAGAGTTTCCAAAAGTCCAGAACAAAAAAGTGATAGAATAACAAAAGTTAGGGTAGGTAAAAACCATATGTCAAAAATTCTGACGATTCTTCAAGCGAGCATCAAAGGGATCCGGACAAAAACCTTATTGCTGGAAAGAGAAAGGAATTCTTCATAAGAAAAATCTTAAATTGTTTGTCTATCTTCATTCCAAATGATTTGTGAGTAGGTCTGGGAAACAACATTCTGCATAAAAAAAAACTTCCGGAGCCAGCTAATATAAACGTGATGTTTGAAGCTGAGAGACGTCATTCACGTGGGATTTTTAGCAATATCTGACTATTCAAGAGGTTTTTTTTAGCATTATAAAAGGCTTGGAACATTATAAGTCAAGATAACTCTCTGGAATCCAGTAAGTAGCTGAAACCAAAAAATTCGCTTACACACGACAAATTTCAAAATTTATACAAATGGCTTTAGTTTATTGTGATAGTGTCACTAACGTGAAGAGCGATGTAAGTGGGATCTAAATCCTAAGAATCTAACAAAGGAAAGGATACTTGGTGACCCCGACCATTTGGAATGCGATGTATGCTGTAAGGTGCACCTCGAAAAGCTGATTCAACATCTGTGCTCAAAATTACGAACTCACTTATGAATTTTTTTCCGTAGAAAATTTGCGTACTTTTAGGTAGTTAAAATCACCCAATTTGACCTTATCTAAACGTTTGAAGCTTCTGAAGAGAATCCTAAAAGGTGTAACGTTGTATTTAGACCTATCTAAATCATATTTAGCATTTGAAGAAGAAAGAAAAATTTTGGTTAATGCTTTTCACCCTCCGCAGTAGTGCAATTCATTCTTGGAAAAATAATTATAACTCCATGCAGGTTCTCGTTTCGCAGATATGGAAAACAGTATTCGAATCAGCATTGAAAGGCTCATTTTTGATATACAAACCATTATGAATGGCCGGGGTCACCAAGTATCCTTCCCTGTTAAGAAAGCAGCATGCGGCATTAAAGAAGCCACCAACTACACAAAACTTCTGCTCACCGTCTGTTGCATATTATCTTACTGATGTTACGCCATCAACATTTAGAAAATCATGCAAATGCATAATGCTTTTTATCAGCACCAGATTTTGAGCTTATTTCTATCTGGAGGCCATCTTTTCAAATCCGGTAGTATGTCATTAACGCGCAATGTTTCGCAGCTATTGATAGCGAGTCGACCCAGCGTTTCGCACTGCTCCAAAAATATTTTTTTTCCAAAAAGACTAGGCTAAGTTGGTTGCCTTTCCTTGCTAGTAGGAACGAAGATCGTTTCTCTGCAAATTTGCGATAAGGCCTTACCCGAATTGCACTCTCATATATACAGGGTGTCCCAAAAGTCTTTAAGCCTAGTATTTTTTCAGCTGCAACTGCACGAAGCAAGATTGACACTTGAAATTTGAATGGAATCTTGTGACGAACCTACAAAATAATAAGCTACACTCAGATTTCAAAAAATCCTCATTTGGCCTTCACATAAGCCCTCACACTCTTGCGGAACGCATGCACCGTGGCAGACAGGTAGTTGACGTCGAGAATGTCTCACACCTTCTGAAGGAAGTGTTCTCTACCGCCCAAAATTTAGTGTAGAACAGAGCAGGCCTTGCTGTCCATCACTGATCACATAGAAAAGTCAAAGGCTTTTGAGCCAGCAATTAAAAGGATGTTGATCTAAGAAGCGCGCTTGTGAGATTCAACAAAAGTGTCAAAATGTAGCAAACAAGTTCTCGAGAACATCAAGAGAACAGCAATTATGGCGTACATAGATTGAAATTGAAATGATGTTTCAGTAAAAAGTGCAGAGGTTACAGCCAGAATTAGTGACTCAAACTGAACTGGTGCTGGAGTTTTCAACTTTCTCGGATTTTTGTTCCCGAGAACTTTTTTTCTTATTGGCACGGCACTACTTTGAGTGTTCGTATCTTAATCCTACGATAAGGTACAATACTACTGATTACATTGGCACTGTAAACGTAGAGTGAAGCTAGCTCTACAATATGCAGTTCAAGATTCTGCAAGAGCTTCAAAGGCAAAAGAGCTATAGATGTTTGATTAAAGGGTATGTTTACACTGGGTCGTCCTCAAATAGTAATACCATTCGCTTCAAGAACAATATCTTGAGAATGGACAGCGCAAACGATATGATTTTCTTGAGGAATATTAAAAACTAGACGAAGTACTCGTACGCAAAATTTGACTGATCAGCGAGAAATACTAACAAAGTTACTATGTTGGAAAGTTAGGCTTAAAGACTTTTGGGACACCCTGTATATAGAGATCAATCAATTAGAGATATCCAACCAGTAGCTACTTACTTATGTCGTTTTTGGCATTCACCAAATGTTCGCTGGCCACAGTTCAAGGTGCAGGACGCAAATTTCTTTCCAGTTTTCAAAAACGCCATCACCTGGTTTTTGACGCCTGAACAATGTAGAATTAAGAAATGCAACTTTTACAGTGAAATGCTTTACCAGATTTCGTCAGCACGTTATTCATTTCATTGAACAGCGCAACCTTGAACGTCTCTATGTATCTCTTCGGCACCCTTATCGGATTACCTTTAGCACATCTGCAGTATTATGCTATAAGATATGCATGTTTCAGAAAATGGTGCGGAAGGTAAACTTACGATTGGGTAAATACGCTGCCTTTCATACATCTGATCAAACTATCCACGGGTCCGCACACTTGATTGAAACATTGTTGTACCGCTGTAAGCGACAAACCCACTTCATTGGCGTGTCGCTGAATGAAGACTAGATGGTGAGGGAAATAAAGCAAGTTGATCGGTTGCCTACATACATTGCACACTTGTGATATTTGAAAATTTTGGTAACTATGTCTCTGTATTATTGAGAGCGAGTGGGATGACACATGAGCAGCGTCTCGCACAAGTGAGAGTGCTCGGATTTCATGGCACTGCAATGGCCGGCCACTTTCCGAAGCTGTTAATGAGATCAAAGCAGAAAGGCGATCTAGAAAGCCTTAGGGTTATGTCAGAATAACCCCGTACCCTCCTCTTCGTTACGGACCCACTCATCGAGCTATTTTAAACTTTAGAATTGTGCGCATACACACACGCCTAGGACCTAAGGTTCCACAGAGACTCTTGTCCTTCGCGGGCTCTGGTCACACGTCCAAAGTTTAATTCGAAGCATCGGTAAAGGTCATTTCGATCTGCGTCTTCCCAACTGATTTTTTATATTTAGCGGAACTGAAAAGCACGGCGAGATATTATTCAAACTCTTTTGCCTTGGCGCTGCCTATAGCGCATTGCTTTCCAAACATTATGCCTCTTGCCTGACCAAGAATATTAGGGTTGAGAGATTGTCCGTAGATTATACAGGTACTGTTGATCTCTTATTTTCGATTTTGAATGATCTAGAAGGTTTCCCAAAAGTCCTGATTACCGAAGATTAGCGTCGCGGTAAAGCATTGATTGCATATGTGAAGTCGGCGACTCTGATAAGCCTAATAAGAAAAAAGCTCAGCTTGGTTTGTTCCCTTTCTGATCAATGTAGCCCTAAATCCTCACTGCTGTGATAACACAGTAATGAGAAAATTGGTGATTTGTTCAGTACCTTAAATCTAACTTAAAGCAAGCTCAGCAAAAACTCGTGACAAGAGAGTTATAAACGATTAAGCGGTATATTGCATATTTAATTTATCGTTTCATCCCCTCCCCTTACTTGCAACATTCAACAATCAATTCAATTTCAATAATAATAATAAGTGAACGTACAAAGCAGAAAAGTGCACACTTTGAATAATAGCACATGCTTGATTTCGAAGACAAGACTTTGAGAGGGTTGAATTTTTCTACTAATTGTTATATGATTTCCCACCTGTTCTCCAGAGCAAGAAGCTAAAATGTCTCGTGTGACCTTAATATCTGAAGGCAGTGTCTCATCGTAATTTACGCCTAAATTTTTACTTGACACGCCTTATCAACCTTGTCTAACCCTACGTAAATAATTCTAATTTTTTCCCAAGAATTCCGCTTCGGAAAAAGCCGCGGAGGGAACTTGGACGAGAAGTGCCTTCCTACAATCTGCGCCGCAGTTTTGCTCATGTCAAAGAGAAGAATGTTGCCTGGAGAAAGTGTTGAAACATGAAAGGGCAAATCAGCAAGTCTGCCAGTGCAGGCCAAATCGCTGATTTGCCCTTTCGAATTTAAGGGTCACTTCGAGCGCGGTTTTCTCAGTGTGAAGGGGCGTACTTGCGCGGCTATCCAAGTAACAATTTTTTTTATCCTTGCATCTTCCCGTTCACACGCGGTCTGCTACTCTTGTTAGTCTCTTCCATTCTTCCCGGTTCGATGTTTGGTTTTCATCTAAGCCAAGCTCTTTTAGGTCTGATTTGATCTTGTCCATCCATCTCATTCTAGGTGTGCCTCTTGGCCTCTTTCCGGGAACATTCAGCGACATGGCAAGTCTTGTCATATGGCTTTCTTCTCTTTTAGTTACATGTCCGTACAATCGTAGGCGCTTCTCTTGTAGCTTCTTGTTGGTCGGAGCAACCTTCATTGTATTTTTGATAGTGTCGTTCGAGACATGATCTAGCATAGTGACTCCAGTGGACCATCACAGCATTCTCGTGTCCATTACACTGAGTCTTCGTTCGTCGTTTCGCGTGCTCGGCCAGCATTCGCTACCTTAGAGGGCAGTTGGACGGATTAGGGCTGGGTATATCTGAGATTTGAGCTTCCGAGGTATTCTTCTGTCGCATAGGACTCCTGTGAGGCTTCTCCACTCTGACCAAGCTGCGTTGATCCTACCAAGTACCTCTTCGTGGAGGCTTCCATCTGCGGTATTCGACTTCTAGATATTTGAACGTGGTAATCTTCTTATTCATCGTGTTGCCAATTCGGATGGTTGCAGGGGTCTGGGCTCCAAGCTCCATGTACTCCGTCTTTACTGTGTTGAGTCGTAAGCCATGCTGTTCCAACTGAGTCTTCCACATCTGCACATCGTCTTGTTCTTTTCTGCTTCGTGCTATCAGAATCACGTCATCTGCATATATTACAGCCCATGGTGGTTGATGTAGGAATCTACTGGCTATCGCATCCATGACTGTGATGAAAAGTAGTGGCGACAGTACAGATCCTTGATGCACACCTGCTTTTATCTGGAACTCTTCTGATCTTCCTGCTGCTGACTGCACGTAGCTGGTTGCATTCTTGTAGATCATCTGAGCCCACTGTACGTACTCTTCTGGAACCATATGCTTTCGTAACGACCACCATATGATGTGGTGCGGCATCTTATTGAACGCCTTCTCCAGGTCGAGGAACGCTGTGTGCAGCTCACATTTTCTTTCCCTGCTGCTTCTCTCCATCATTATTCTAGCAATGTGGATGACGCCTGATGTGCTGCAGCCTTTCACGAATCCACATTGATTGGATGCCAATTCTACTATGTTTCGGAGCCTCGTCTCTAGTATCCTTTCGAATATCTTCAACGTGTGGCTCATCAGTCGTATAGGCCGATATGTAGAACAGTCAGCTATATCGCCTTTATTCTTCCATATCCGGGATCGTCGTACTTCTACACCAGTCGCTTGACATCTTTCTGGAGTCTACTACTCGATTCAGCAGTCATGTCAGCTACGTAACTCCTGATTGTCCGCACTTCTTTCAGAACTCGCTCGAGATGTCGTCTGGACCTGTTGCCTTGTCGTTCTTTGTTTTCATTATGGCGATTCACACTTCATCCTCCGTGATGGCCGGTACTGGTCCATATACAGCCTCAGCCGCTGCAGTTGATAGTATTTGTAGCTTGTAGATGCCGTTTCTGCGAAGTGCTCTCTCCATCTCTTATTTATCTCTTCAGGTTTCCTCAGCACTCTTCTGTCTACATCTTTGATATTGCAGAAGTGCTCCACGTCTTTTGAGGCGTTTGCTCTTCTTCTTGCTAGCCTGTAGATCTCACGTTCACCCCCGCGACTGTGCAGCATCCTGTACAGCTCCTCCACGTAAGCTTCCTTCGCTTGTTTGACACTCCGTTTCGCTGCTCGTTTAGCGTCTACATATGTCTGCCGCGCTTCTTCTGATTTTGTCTTCTGCCATATTCTGAAGGCTGTCTTCATCTTCTTGATCACGACGTCATCATTCCCCACCACCGTGTTTCCTTATTAAGTTTTGTTCTTCCTGAATTCGTGCGTCCCTAGTAGATCGGTCGCTATCTGAAGGACATTGTTCTTCAGATTCTTCCAGGAGTCTTCTGGCTCTTCTTCTAACTGTGGTAAAGCGGATATTATGGCTGCTCTAACTTCATCGTTGTCTTTGAGCTTCCACCAATTGATGCGTGTTACTTGCTCAGTCGTCGTTCTTCTTTGCCTGTCGACTGGAATATTCAGATCCACAAACACTGGCCGATGTTGTGTTAGGCAGTCTTCACCGGGTATGACTTTGTTGTTCTTCATATACTTAAGCTCGCCTTGTCGTACAGCCCAGTAATCTATTTGTGACTTCCAATCCCCGCTGGCGTACGTGATGAGGTGGCTAGGCTTCTTGATGAAGTATGTGTTTGCTAGCGCGAAGTCATGTGCCGTGGCGAATTCCAGAATACGCTCCCAATCTTCATTACGTGATTCGTATCCGTGATTTCCGACATTTGCTTGTACCGCAACGTTGTTCCCCGTCATGACCTTTTAGATCAGCACCAAACAGTAGCATTTCGTCATCTGGTATCAAGCTCATGTAATCGTCAAGTTGATTCCAAAATTCATCCTTCTCCATCTGTGTGCAACCCACTTGAGGTGCAAAGGCGGTTATGATTCGGAGGATTCTCTTCCCGGTATCCACTCTGATGCACACAAGTCGATCACTTATTCGGTCCACCCCAGTGATTTTATTCATCAGTGCTTCCGAAACCACTATACCGACCCCGTTTCTGGTGCTTTTGGATCCCTTGTAGAGAAGTTTGTAGCCGTCTTCTATATCCCTCGACTTCTCACCCTTCCACTTTGTCTCCTGAATACAGGCGATATCAACTCTACGTCTTCTTAGAAGATCAGCCAATTCGCGATGTCGTGCTGTGAGTGATCCTACATTAATGGTGGCTAGACGTAACGGTGAGAACTTGGATACTCACCTATGGTGAGCTAGCTTCTTCAACCGTCCCCGCTCACCCTTCTGAAACGGTAACCCTAGCATACTATTCGGACTCGTCGGGCGCAAATGCGCGTCGCCTCCAGGGAACGCCCCAGCTTTTACTCGTAATATCCGATGAGACATACAAAAGCATCTGATGCGACTGGTTTCTTCTTCAGCCGGCTTGTTGCTTGCTTCCTTTGAATGAGCAGCCTGACGGGAATCGTGGGCAGAGCTTTGCCAAAGAAATTAGGCCCGCGGCGGATCCGAACCTGTTACCTTTCCTCGTCGTAGTCAAGGGCACTAACCTCTCGGCCAACTCTGCCCTCCAAGTGACAATGGAAAGCATCCTGAAAATTTTTTCGAGGTTTTGTCACCTTCGAAGAATTCTTTGTCGCCTCTTCTTGGATGGAAATCCTACCGCCACAGCGTTTGATTTGGTGGGATGCTGCTGTCACAGATTGCGAATTCTCAAAAAAGCTTGCTGCCCTTTGCTAGAAGGATTCTAAAACGCCAATCTTCGCGCTGCCTCGCCTTCACTGCCACTTACAAATGAAGCAACTTTCGCGAAAAAGTATTCCATCACGGCTATTTACTCCCGAGCGTGGGCTTTCATGTCAACTTTCACCACCAATGGACCAAGCTGCGCAGCCCTCAACTCGCACTATTTCAACATCACAACGCATAGGAGGATTGACTCATTGCATCGAGGTTTCCCGGAATGCGTCTTTGCCTGCCACATGGCAATAAAGCAGCCAAGGGGTTTCCTTTACGGCTTCTAGAATCCTTGGAAGACGTGTTCTCAAGCCATTGTAATGAGTTGTTTGTGAAATTGTAAATGGTGTATAAATGGTGAGCTATCTGGATTGTAGTGTATCGGCAGCAGTGTTGCTTTTGAACTTTGCTCCAATTCATTTTCATGCTAAAAGTGTTCATTAAAACTCAAAGGCAGCGGCTCGGCAGAATGACAAGTTTGGAATATATATCGTTCTTGGTTCCCCTGGATGAGCCAAGTCCAAGACTGTGTTTTGCAGCTTCAAAAGATATCAATAACCCGCTTCTCCAAAAGTAAAGAGTGCTACTTGGGCGCACGACGTATGCCTGCCGTCGAGCGCGATTGGCTCGTGGATACGGTGTCTCCACTCACAAGCCAATAGCGTCTAGAGATCAGGATACGTGGTCCGCCCAAATGGCAATTTTCACGTCTGGAAAAACGGGTTATTGATATCTTTTGAAGCTGCAAAACACAGTCTTGGACTTGGCTCATCCAGGGGAACCAAGAACGATGTATATTCCAAACTTGTTATTCTGCCGAGCCGCTGCATTTAACGCCTAGAAGAGTTCCGTCAGTAAGAAGGCATTGCAAGACTAATGAACCACAATCTTCCATTGTATTAATGACAGCTTGAGATGGCTGGCAGCTAGTAAACAGGGGGCATGGTAGCCCAGGGCCTCTAATCTGCTTCGTGTATTTGTGTTGTTGTGGCAGGCCATAAAGCATGGTGCAAGAAGGCTACTCTCCATGTGTCATAGCTCACTTCTCAGACGGGGTCCTCAGCTCCGGCTGCCGTTGCTGTAAAGCTCTTAAACACTGGGGTCTTGAGTTGAGGACCTCTACTCGCGACAACTGCCTTTAAGCCATCCAGTGTCAATTTTTTTGAGTTTCATGTGACCTCGACATCTTCTTTGGTTTTATCTCTTTGTGAGGTTGCGTAATTCGTCCGAGCCAGAGCGCCCATCTCTGATGGCAGCTAGCTTTCTCGCTTACTCAATCGTTGCGGCAGCGCCGACCAATCAGAGGCGCGCAGTAATCAAATTGCAAAGGCTAGCGATGCAGAAGGGCCGTCTCCCCTACAAAAGTTCGCCTTGTAAGCACAAATCTACATAGCAGATTTTCATTTTCTTTTTAGAATGATCAATAGCTATGCAAAAAGGAAACCAATTGGTTTCTCAGTTTCTCGCGGTATTTGCCGAAATACCTTCAGGGCAAATAAACACAAAGCTTTGAAAAAGGTCCGTATGCAAGTACATCCCCGCGGGGAGGGGAGGGGATCTGAGAGGGGAAGCGTCATATTTCGCTACACTGTATAACTTTCGTCTTCCTTCTTTATCTATGATATGAAGGTTCTCATACCTAACACCTGCGCATAACGGATGCCAGGTTAGTGCCATGCAAGATTAGATTTTCACAGCATTGTCTGATCCCCAGGGGATCACCTCTCATTTTCAAAGTCATTTATCTTCCTACAAATTCAATGAAAATGTTATAAATTTGTGCTGAAGGTATAATATGGTACTGTTAGACATGTCTATAGTAGAAATAAGGGAAATCTCAGGAAATCGAAACTTTCGATGAACCGCTGCTCGCGAGCTAGGGATTATCGAAAAATTGATAATCTTCAGATTCCATTCTTCTGTCAAAAACTGTTAAGCAGTGCCATAGTATATCCTCAGTACAACTTTACAGCATTTTCATGGAGTTTTCGGAAAGATAAACGACTTCGAAAATCAGAGGTGATCCTCTGGGGATCCCCGCGGATCACACAAACTGGTGAAAATCTAATCTTGTATGGCAATAACCTGGCATCTATTATGGCAGGCGTTAGGGTATGAGAACCTTCGTAACACAGATAAAGGAAGAAGAAGAAAGGTATACACAGTAGCGAAATATGGCGCTTCCCCTCTCAGATCCCCTTCCCTCCCCGCGGGGATGTACGTGCATACGGGCCTAAGAGAAATCTTGAAAAGAGTCTGTATTTTAGATCGCCTGGTATAAAATTACTGCTGATAATACTATTGGGTCAATAAAATTGAATAAACGAGTGAGCGACCTGACACTGATCCATGCAGTGAAGAGTAGTGTCGGCAGTTACGTGAGTGCAAGGCTCAATTTCATTACACGTGCATTGCCGCATCATCTGTGCGTTGACTACGTTGAGCATTACTGTCGCCATTACAGTGAGCCACTGCATGCCTGGAAAGAATGATATTTAGATTTTAACCCAAATGCAGCGTCTAGGCAACTATCTACACATGGAGATCGCACGTGGCTTAGATAATCGTCCTCAAACCGAACCCCGCTATTGTACTTGGCGGACGACTCAACGGGTTGCACGCGCAATTGAGTGCGGACCAACCACCCTCGACTTGTAGAGTTGCTAGGTCCCCGCAGCCCTACAAGTCGAAGCAAGTCGTCTGCTAAGCACAGTGCTGAGGAAAGGTGTTTGGACGCTGTTCCGCGACATTGTGTAAATTTTGAACATGAACGCTGTTAACCATAAAACATATTTCGATATTCTTCCAACTGCGTGACCCTCAAGTAAGATTAAGATGAATTTTTGTTGCTCGAGTGTAGAGTTCAGACAACAGATAAAGCAGTTCATCATGGTTTTATGAGAAAATCTACCGAATCATACCTAAGCATGCCACCCACAAATCAGCGGATATGCGCTGTTTTCCATGCATAGGAGGCCACAATGCAGTTATTGTCTCGTAATAAACGCCAATCAACTCAATTAAAAAGAACTGACATCATCAACTTCTCAAATTCAACACAAGGCCGCCCAGAATTTTTGTTGCTCGAGTATAAAGTTCAGACAACAGATAAGCAGTTCATCATGGTTTTATGAGAAAATCTACCGAGTCATACCTAAGCATGCCACCCACAAATCAGCGGATATGCGCTGTTTTCCATGCATAGGAGGCCACAATGCAGTTATTATCTCGTAATAAACGCCAATCAGCTCAGTTAAAAAGAACTGACATCATCAACTTCTCAAATTCAACGCAAGACCGCTCACCTTCCCAAAAAGATGGCAAATTTAACTATCCGAAAGTTAATTAAATTTTCATGGTCGTTCAGTGCAATGCCACTAAGTTGTAAATAGGTCGTAAGTTAGACTGAGGGGGGAGGGGGTAGTGTGCAAAAGCGAAGAATCCACAACTTGCTCATAATCACCGGCTTGTAAGGTCACTATTAAGGTATGAGAATGCGCAGAATCGAAGAGTACAAGGCTCAAAGAAGAGAGGATAGACAAACAGCCGATTTTCTGCGAAAACAGGAAAAAGGGGTTAATTCTTCTTTGGCAATCTCCCTAGTTCTTTTGAAAGTGCTTGAAACAGATTTTAATTTATTCCATTCCGTTTATGTCCTAACCAACCGGTTTTTATGGAATTTCCGTCAAAAAATCCGTTTATTCCGTCCATTCATTTGCTACCCGAAGTCGCAACGGTCACCATCATTCGCGATAGTGGCCGCCTGCGTCAGTCGTGGAGTTTGGTACGCCACATCAGGAGGATCCTATTGTGGGGTCATGGTGAAGGGGGGTACTTGAGGTGTTAATGATGTTCATTTTCGTGACCAGCATTCCAAATACACTTCTAAAATAAAATCAGGTCCTGCCCGGGAATTTCGCAATATTCCGGGAATTTCGCGAAGCTCTCGGAATTTCGCGGAATCACGCGAATCAGAAAATTACGCAGCGCCACAAACTCTCTCAAAAAGAATCTTATGTATAAAACTGAACGTGTGTTTGTCTGTATGTCTGTATGTTTGTAACAGTGGCGGTCGCAGGATTTCGGACCGGGGGAAGCGCGCCAAAAACAATTCTTGAATGAAGGTGCGTGGCGTTAGCCACGCATTCCGAAAAAATTTTTGGGGTGTTTCCGGAATTTTTTGTGGCCTCATACTCCCAAAATCAAGAAAAAGGGGGCGTGGCGTTAGCCACCCCCCTAAAAATTTTTTTACAAAGCTAGTTTAAATTGTTTAAAATTTTTAGAAATTATTTTAATTATTTACAAGTAAAAACAAATCACTTGCACATTTTTATTACCCATATAAGTAATTTTCAAAAATTTCGCGACCCATTCCCGAGGGGGGGGCCCCCCCCCCTCGGACCGCCACTGGTCTGTATGTACAGTCGAGTAGATTTCCTGCTTAATATAGTGTCCCTGCAGACGCGACAACGCTGGGGCGTCAAGAAATGCCTTGCGAGTTCCCGAGCTAGTGTTTTCCAGTGTTTTCTTTGCTTATTTCATGCTTTTTAGTTGATTCGTTGCTGATAAAGAGGAAAAGGGTAAGTTGAAGAGTAGTTTCTGTTTTCTGAGTTCTATCATCGCATATTCACAGATATCCACGTGGAAGCATTTCGCGTCAGCTTCTTGTCTAATTCTTTTTTGTCATTTCCTTTTCTTCTGTCACCACTTCTTTCAGACCTCCTCCTTCTTGTGAAGCATTTCTTTGAACGCTAGTTGGCTTGCCTTGCAGCAACTTCGGCTTTCATCCATAAGAAATAGCATTTTAATCAAGTACTTCATGTGATAAAGACAATAAGTCAATCGTAAAAACCCACTCGTTCAAAGAAGTACCTCACAAGAAGAAAGAGACATGAAGTGACAAAAAAATAGATAAGAAAGCTGACGCGAACTGCTTCCACGTGGATATCTAAGAATATACGGTGATAAAACTTCTCAGAAAACAGGAACTACTCTCTAACTTACTCTTTTCTTCTTTATCAACAACGAAGCACCTAAAAAGCATAGAATAAGCAAAGAAAACACTGGAAAACACTAGCTCGGAAACTCGTCAGGCAATTATTGACGTTTCAGCGTTGTCGCGTCTGCAAGGACACTATATTAAGCAGGAAATCTACTCGACTGCATGTCTGTATGTACGTATGTGCGGAATAGAAATTTTTATTTCTAAACCGATTTGGACCAAACTTGGTACACATAACACTTCTGGGCAGGGAGCATGTCGTAGGCTACTTTTCGTCATCGACCAACATCAATTTTATCGATTTTTATCGAGTTTTTTGCAGGGTTCACCTACTGGGCTGGGAGTTGGCACAGAGGATAAGTTGGCATGATGATTCCGAATACAATATTAGTTTTCAAAATTATCGATTACTTTAATCGATTTTATCGAATTTTTTTTTGCAAAGTTTGAGCTACAGGGCTGGGAGTTGGCACAGGGGTTAGTGGAGCACGCTGATTCCGAATACAATACTAGTTTTCAGAATTATCGATTACTTTTATCGATTTTATCGATTTTTTGTATAGTTTGAGCTACAGGGCTGGGAGTTGGCACAGGGGGGTAAGTGGGCATGCTGATTTCGCAAACAACCAGGGAGCGGGAAATGAGGTGTAGAAAAGTGGGCACAAGAAAAGGCTTTACAGGGATGCTAGTATATGCTAAGTCCAAAAAAAGCATTGTGTTCAAGCGAATCTTTTGATGTAATGTGCTTGTTATTCGTTTCGTTTTCTCAAATTTCTCTGCAAATGTCCTTTCGCAAGTATGTTACACAGGGCACATCACGCGTGAAAGATTCCAGTAACCATTCGATAGTGCTGCTTCCGTACTACTCAGCGCTAGAAAGCAACCGAAAACTCCTTTTCAAATAAGATAGAAGATCTGGTGAATTCTCGAAAGATCATGTCGTCCGAGACTTTACTCCCCACTCTAAAATATGGAGCTCTCCTGCTGAACAGGTGTGATTTTCATAAGCAGGTCAGATGACCTCTATAAGCAAGTTTTCCAGGAACTTTGGGTTATTAGATTTTTTCTCGTTTTACGCTCCAGCTTGCTGTTTATCATCGCACTTGCAGTGTGATGGGTTGTGCGGAAATATTGATGATATTGGATTAAAAGGAAACTCTGCTTATAGAGGTTTTCGGATTCGTTGTTTACGAAAATCATGGTCATTGGGAGTACAATGTCTTTTAGCAGAGGTATAGTGAGAAGGTTGTAGCAAAGCCATGAAAATTCGTAAACTCGCTTGCACTTTTCGCATATTTCTTAGAAAATTTGCTTGCTTGTATTTACAGGTCAAAGTCACTAAAAGTAGGCTACTGAACAATGCATCTGTCAGGCCCAGGGCCCGGCACAGATGGTTGGGGGTTAAACTGGACTTCGTTTTTGAGGTTAGAAGCAACAGAGATATCGTTTTCATAAAGTCAGGAGCGAAGCACCGAAAAAAATGACAAACATGTCAGGTTTCACGAGCTGAACGTGTTTTTAGGCAAGCGCGCGAATTTCAAACCAAGACTCAAACAAACGGATGGCTTGTTTACAGCGCACAAACAATCACATGACGCCGAATTTGGGCTATGTGTATACAATGTACTCCAAACAACATTAGGTAAGAAGTTTAAAAAACTTATGTGGCCTAATACCCATTCCCAAATTTGTTGGCTTCTAGACCAATACCATACCAACTTAGTTGGTTCGGAGCATAAATGTCGGAAAGTTCGCATAAGTTTTGGCTCTTTTTGATTTGGACGATTAGAACGGTAAAAATCTATCATATAGCGAAGCGAGCGAATCAAACCACTGCTTCTCCTCTTTTTTGAGCCAAAAATAGTGTAAATCGAAGCATTGGTAGATAGAGCGCTCCAATTATGCGGTGTCCTTAGAACTATGCGGCACAAAATGCATCGCCAGATTGTTGAGGTCACAGATTCGCTTGGCCTTAGAGGTTTTCAACGTTCTGAACACTAGAATGGTACCATACGCAAGAATTGAATCGGCTTAGAATGTTTTCTTTTGCTTCTTTCTTAGATTAGGTACCTCAAAACTCCCTTTTTTTTCATGGTTAGGTTCTATCACGTTGATTGAATAAGGGCTTCCCTACTGACTTTTTCATGGTTATGTTCTATCACGTTGATTGAATAAGGGTTTCCCTACTGACTTTTTCATGGTTATGTTCTATCACGTTGATTAAATAAGGGTTTTCCTACTGACTTTTGCGTCAAAAAGGACTTCGTAAATTTTCGCGAGTTTATAGGAGTTCATAGGACTTCGTTTCCAAAATGCTGCAAACCAACGCGCGCCGGGCCCTGGTCAGGCCCCATCTTATATATAAGGCTGAATGTCTGTATGTCTGTCTGTCTGTATGTCTGTCTGTCTGTCTGTACGTATGTTCCAAATAGAAAATTCCATTTCTGAACCGATCGGGACCAAACTTGGCACACATA